CACACACACACACACACACACATACACACACACACACACACACACACACACACACACACACACACACACACGAGAGCATCTGCACGCAGGCACACATCACACTCGTGTACCCACACACGGGCACATGTCATACATGCATATGTGTACCTGCACAAAGGCATATGTCACACACATACTCCTGCACAAGGACATACATTACACACACATGCACCTGCACATGGGCATAGATCCCATCTGCATATATGCATGTCCACACAGGTAAACATCACACATGCACATGGGCACACAGGTATATGTCATACAACGTGTACCTACACAAAGGCGTAAGTCACACGTACAAAGGGGCATGTGTGCCTGTACCTGAACACACCACACAGCATCTTCCTGTCAGCTCCTGTGTTCGCTCATTTCATGCCAGCCTCTGGCTACAGTTGACTCTTCTGTCAGGGCAGGCGCTGAGCATCTGTGAAGTGAGTTTCTGTGGACATTTTTTTTAACCAGTGGTTAATGGACACAAGCAGGCTCTTGGCTCTACCTCTGAGCTACAGCCTCAGCCATTTGGCTTTTTAAAAATGGTCACCATGCCACTGAAGAGAAAAGCAAGCAAACATATGAGGTAGTTCCAAAATACAAAAGAAGGGGGAAGAACACTTGCTTTACCTTCTACTGTAAAACTCATTTTATTTATTCATTCACACTTTTTTATTTTGGTTTTTTGAGACAGTTTCTCTGTGTAACTTCGGGGCCTGTCCTGGAACTCACTTTGTAGACCAGGCTGGCCTCTAAATCACAGAGATCCCCCTGCCTCTGCCTACCAAGTACTAGGATTAAAGGCGTGCGCCACTACACCTACCCCTAAAACTCCAGTATTAAAACATGACAAAGATGCCTGAATTCACACAGAAATTCAGTTGATGGGGAAGTAGCTTAAGAGGCTGGAGAGATGGCTCAGTGGTTAAGATCACTGGCTGTTCTTTCAGAGGACCCAGGTTCACTTTCCAGCACCCACATAGCAGCTCACAACCATCTATCACTTTAGTCCCATGAGATCCAATGCTCTGTTTTGGTGTGCAGACATATATACAGACAAAATGCCCAATTACATATAATAAAGAAATAAAAATTTTAAAGCAAGTATCTTAAGTAGAGGAAAGGCATTTAACACAAAGGGGTATCTATCAGGCTGAGGAGAAGGCTCAGTAGATAAAGTGGAGTTGAGAAAGCCTGATAACTGGGTTCAACCTCTGGAACCCACCTAAAAACCCTGCTACAGGAGTGCACATCTGTAACCCAAGGACCCTACAGCAGGGCGTGCAGCAGGGACAGGACAATCTCCCAGGGTCTCAGAACCAGCTAGCCTGCTGTGTACAGAAAGGCAACAGAAACAAGAGACCCTTGACAACAAGGTGGGAGGTGAGAACTGACTTCTCAAATTGTCCTTTGACCTCCATACTCACATAATTTTATTAGTTCAAATTTTAGGAACAAGCTTGCTTCACATGTCAATCCCTCCTCCC